CTTCAGCTTATTCCCAAAGCTGGGAAATTTCTGGTCATCCTTACTGAGGAGTAATAAATTGATACAGATTAAAATAGAAAGGCTGAATGAGGCAGTCCTGATGCTTTTCTCTTGGCCACTGCTGCTGCTTGCTTCCAGTCTCCTTTGATTGAGGCAGTATTCAGTACTTAGGATATGGCCCTATTTCTACAGCATATAGTTTGGATCTTTGGCCCCAAAAAGATGTATTGAGTTTTCTCTTTCTCAAGATACGGATCCTTTTCAGCATATTTCAGAATATTTTTCTACTTGTTCTTGTGTAAGCAGGCAGCTGAGCAGCAGATTTGTCTTCCTGCATGAGGCTTGTGCAAAAGGAGAGAAGAATGGAGACCCTGGGAACTCTCTCTGATCTGTTGGTTCATTTATTTATTGTTAGTTTCAAAAGTGTTAGCCCTAATGAAAGTGTGACCAACCCTGAAAATTAAATCTCCAGGTGCTCAGAGCTGACACGTTGGGAAGCATCAGTAAATACTCAAAAATAATTGTGTCAGCCAGCACAACATCAGTCATGTTGCCGTGTGCCAGGAGGTGGCAGTCGTTATTGCATACCTGCRTGTGCACGTCCATGCCCAGCGCTCCTCCAAACCCCGGCCAGGGGAGGACGCAGCCTTTCCCTTGCTCTAGTCTRCCACGCTGCAGGCATGCTTGGGACCACAGGAGCCAGTGCTGGGTATTTTAGCACAAAAATGATGGAGAACAGAGTGGAGATAGACTTTTCCCACTGCAAAAAAATGTGGTAGATCCTATAAGTGTAGGTATGTTCAGAGCATATTTCTTTGTGCCTTGTACCCTAGGCCTCTTTGACTGTGCATCTCTCTCTGCTATTCCTGATGGCTGCTACAATGAAAATTGCTGCCGTCTCCCATAGTGTCCACAGACTGCCTGCTGTGTAGGTGGTGTGTGTCACCACACCRGGTGTATCCATGGCCTGAGGTGAGTGGGGGCCATGGTAGGCAAATGAGTGACAGATTTGTTCCCCATCATGCTTAATTATTGGAGATCAGTTCAAATACAGATGTTGCATGATTTTTTTTTAAGCATGGAATGTGTACATTTTTAAAGCAAGTGTATTTCTCCCCCTTATATATACATACGCATATATATACTATATATATGTATATATGTATATAGCTCTGCCACCTTAGGTGACTTACAAATACTTGCTTAAATCTGGAGCTGACTGTTGTGAGGGGGAAGCAGAACCATCTCCAGGTATTTATTTTGAAGTGCTGAGATCAGCCTCCTTTTAATGAATCACATTTCCTGTGATGAATACCAGAAGCTTTTCTGGTGATTCATTTGCTTGTTTTATTTGAAAATAAATAAATCAAGAGGAAAATAATTTGCTTAGAAAGGCCTTTATGAAATGCTGTTTCAGAGAAGATGTTTTTTTTTTTTTTGTATTGAATTCTTCCTAGAAGCATTAAAATCATGTTTTCCTCTTGAAATCAGATTGTGCAACTCAAAACTAGSGAATAGAGAAAATGCAGACAAGAGTGAAAGAAAGAAAGAAGCTACTTTGGATCGTCACGTTGCTCTGGAGTGGGAATGTGTGAGAGGCAGCCCAACAAGTTACTGTGGAAAAGGAAGGACAGGAAAGGCACTGATGGGTTTGGGCTTCGTGTCTGTAAGTGAAACTCAGAAACTGTCCAGCCTCTCTTTCAACTAGGGGAAGGTATTTTCCTTCCCTGAGCAGTCTGCTGTACCCTCCGGTGTCGTGGTACCTCTGTGCGTAGCAGACATTGCAAATACCAATGCAGGGACTGTTTTCCTGAGGGCAGATTGTACWCACTTGCTTTTAACAAACCCAGCATCCAGTTGTCCTTCCCCCTGCCCTGGCAGCCCAATGCTGCCCAGTTGCGTGTATGTTGGCAGGTGGTGAGGTGCAGAACGGTGCAGTTTGCTAGTCCAGCGTGCAGGCAAACTCGTCCTGGCTGTGGGAATCGCAGTGAGTGCTGCTCTCTTCTGAATATCCGAAGTGATTAATAAATCTTAAACAAAAGATGGTGTGCTGTTCTGCTGAGCGTTAGAGCTTTTGCACCTGGCTGTAAATTGCAGAGTTCTGCCAAGAAAAGTGCTGGTTTCCAAGTTTGTTAGCCTGCTGTTCAGAGATTTTAATTTTTCTTTGTTTGTTTTTGTTTCGTCTTTGGAACTCTTCCCACATTAAATTAAAAAGGAGACTTGGGGTAAGGAAGTCAGAAGAGATGCTTTGAGATGCTTCTTTTCCAGCAGTCTCTGAACTTATGACCTCTTATAATAAACTACTTGGGCTTCCGGTGGGACAGTTTCCTTGGGGTGGACACAAACCTCTTGCCGCCTTTTCTGTGCTTAGGAGGGAGATTTTGACAGCACAGGAGAGGTTGCAGTGCYGGGTTTTCAGTTGGGACTTCCAGCGAGGAAGGTTGTTCAGCTGGTTCAGGGCTGCGATAAATCATGGCTCCCCTGAAGCATGTTAGGCCTGCAGAGAGCTGGAAATAACTGCTAGAAAACTTCAGCTTTTGTTGTGGGCTATCTTTCAGGATGATGAATGGCTTGTAGCAGGAACAGATTCCTTTGCCATGGCTGGGGAAAACTGTTGCCTTCCACTGGGAACAAAAATGTAACAGTACCGCTTGTGTAAATCCACAGTGCAGCCTTGCCTTGAAAGCTGTGCTTTGGCATGGGCTGCCTCCTCCTGAAAAATAAGCCATGTGATGCTAATGGAGAAGAGCCTCTAGAGACCAGGGTGCTGAAAATTAATTTGGGGCTGAAAGGGGGCTATTGATTTGGTAGCAAAGGACAGTAAGGAAGGGAGATCTCTGTGGTTGGTGTAATGGTTAGTTACCAGATGTGGCTAGGGAAGATGTCAGAGGGCATGGGGTACTGTTGTCATCTGGGCTTCTTGAATGCTGCATTGCCTTGAGCAAGTCCTTTCTCTGTCTGAAAAAAAAAAAAAGAAAATGACTTTTCTTTGAACTTCAACCACAGGCACATACATCCCTGCTTTCTTCCACAGGCCTTTCTCAACCAGTTTGCCTCTTAGCTATGATAATAGAATTACTATCTGTTGGCTTTTTGACAATTTMTTTTCTTTGACTCTTTTATTTGAGGGCTTGAGTTGTCAAGAAGTTGGGGAGATCCCGCCCGAGTTGAGTGTTGAGGCCAGGGACATTAGGTAAAAATAGCCAGCTGCTGCTGGATAGCCAATTTCAATGAGGAAATAGGCTATCCTATCCTTGACTTGATGAGGTACTGACCTGCTGCATCATTAAAATCTATGTTGGTGAAACAAGCGTCTTGTTTAGCTGGTGTGGAGTGACAGCAGTGGCAGCAAGTCACAAGCAGCACCAGAGAACCTGGAGTCCCAACCCCCAATCTGCTGCCGTGGCCAAATAAGCATAGGGTGACAGAGATGGGTTCCAGCAAGAGGAGGAAGCAGCTGAGCTTGGTTCACCCCAGGGCTCCTCTGCTCGTGGTGGTTTTTAGCTGGGATGAAGTGTACTGGCTGGAGTGTGCCCAGAAGTGTGCAAAGGCATCAGTTGCCGGGTCCCTGAACGGTGACACTGGTTTATGCTATTGAACAGACTGAGCTGCTGGGATGCAGAAGAGAAGAGGCACAAGTGCCACATCAGAGCTCGACCTCCCAGTGTCGTGACTCCCCTCTTTAGCTTGACTTTCATTATTAAATTGTCATAGATTCCAGTTGCTGGTTTGTGATATTTAGGCAAAGCTTGCTACTTTGTCTGGTCTTGGCAGCAAAAAAGAGCATTGAGCAAAATCTATTGTCCGTTGAAGCCAAACATATTTGGTCAGTGAAACTGCTGGTGTGGCAATGAGACATCCCCCCTAGAATGTAAATGCTGCTTTTGATTGAAGAAGAAGAAGAGGAAAAAAAAAAAACCCATCGTGTCTGATCACTGTTGATCACTGTTGCAGGCAGCAACTCGGTGATGCTCCTTTGGTGCTTGTTGAGTTCTCCTGGACTGTGGCAGAGATCATTTCCTCTCTTTCGTTTTTGTCAGCTTTCACAGGCTTCACATATGGATTTTAACAGCTCTGTTCATAACCTGTTTGTTATCCCTGAAAAGTGTTGTGTTTGGTCAACTGCTTCATCATCTGTGTTTATTTTGGTCAAATTCCAAATTTGTTAACTATACACTGTGCAGAGCCAACTCTGTCAGGCTACTCCAGGGCTATACAGGATACTCCAGGGATGTATTATTTTCTACTCGAGGGGTTTCCAGTCTATTTCTCTGACTTGTGAATATTGAGGTATTGGTTTGTTTTTTTCTTGACTTTTGGCTGAAACTGAAGGATTTTCCAAAATTAAAACCTCTGCAAACTTAAATCAGGGCAACTAAACCACAAGGGGGCAAATAATCCTTCATGGTTTTATTTCTGCAGCGAAGTAGAAATGGTCGGCTGGCTCACAGATTGGATTTAGACCAACACAGTGTGTGTGTGTGTGTGTGTGTGTGTGTGTGTGAGAGCTAACCATGTGTATTAGATCCTGCAGACTGACACTGTAGCCTTTAGATGTACACTGATGTGCTTGGATGCTTCACTGCTGTCCTCATGGCTTTGCAAATTGGTAGCCTGGGGATGGTGCAGATGCAACATCTCAGTCAGAGATGCAACCTAACTAGCTCCTCCACACTAGCTAGGARAAAGCCAGTAAATTATCACCCTTTCAGGCATTGGTGAGGAGTAAATATTACCACTTTAGCCCCTGGTTGGGAGCCAAACTTAAACCAATGGGTAACATGAGGAATCTTAATGAAGAGATTGCCCAGTGGCTCAGTTTGAATGCTGTCACCTTTCTTCATCGTTGTCTGCTCCATGTGTATTTTTAAAACTGCTAATGTGTATGACTTTTGTCTGGTCCATTGACTAACTGCCTTTCAGGTGTGATATGGACCACTTGGGAATTGCACTTTCCTTCCAAAACAGAGTGAAACTAATTGCAGTTTGTTTCTCTCCAGCTGCCTTTTGGGGAGATATCGCTTTAGATGAAGATGATTTGAAGCTGTTTCAAATAGACAGAACTGTTGACTTAACAAAGCACTCAGCTGGCAACGCAAGACACACATCAGGTAAGGGGAGCCTGGAGATGGCAATGCCTTCTTTCCTCGTTTTACTGCTATGGAGGAAGGAGTTCCCTGTTAATCCTGTTGCCTGGTCCCATGGCTGGGAAGGGCATGGAAATTTGGTTATTTGCCTGGAGGTGGGATCCAACTCAGAACTTTCTTCATTATGCAGACTGCATCTCCAGTTTTAGAGAGCAGCAATGCAGCCTCTCATTTGGTCTGAGAGAGAACAGTTCCAAATTTACAACACTGACTTSTTCCTGTGAGGAACTGTGTTTCTGCAAATCTGAAAAGTTTTTGAAATAGGAACACTCTGATGGCTTAATTTTGACTCACACTGGAAAATGSTAGCGACAATAATTGCCATGAATGGAATAATGCACTTTTTCAGCTGTCTACCTAGGTAGTACCTTCTGAACTCTTAAGTACATTGTCGTGTTGTAGTAAAAATAAGTTACCAATCATTGTGATTTTTATAAAGGTAATAGATGGGGTTGCATTTGCTAAGAAAATTAAGTGGGCTGTTCTGAACAAGGCTCAGAATGTTCTCCCCTGCATGACTATCTCAAATGCCAAGGCTTGTGCCAGACCAGAGTTGTTTTGTGAGTGACTCTACTTCTAACAATGTCTGAAACACTGTGTGAGTGGCTGGGAGGGCTTGAAGGGCACTGTGTAGTATCGTTGTCTCTACTCCACTTTCATACCAAAAAAAAAAAAAAAAGGAAATTATTAAAAATCTGAGCTCTGGGAGAAACCAGAGACAGAGCTTGTCAGGGTGTTTCATGTTGTGCTCTTAAGCGGAGTAAAAAGTGGAGAGTGAAATCACTGGGACACCCTGACCCCCTGTGCCTCTCAGCTCATTTTGAATCATGTGTAAGGTTGGATGGCCACTGCTCAATGCCTTGGCCTTGGTTTCAGGATCGGAGCCCTGTGCAGGCCCTGCACTGCTAACACTGCTGTAGCTTCCACTTGGAACTAGTGTGAAGTGTGACATGTATCTCCCAACATAGATGCATGCTTGTGATGTTAGCATATCTGATAAATTCATGTTCATCCTAAAATTCTGGGCTGMTAGGGGCTGTCCCGTCATTCCCCCCTAGAAAAGCCATTATCCTGGACTGTCATCCTTAGCTTATTCATGTCATGTTGCGACCTGTGTTTTGGCTTGCTGTCACTCAAGTGACAGGTGATTTGGAGTACATTGACTTCAGGGCAGAAGGTGAGCCAGAATATAAGACCTGAGTAGTAGGTGGGCCGGGCAGCATTGTCTCCTTCATATCCCTTTACCTGATCCTGAAATTAGATGAGGAGATTGCTGYGGATGTAAAGCCAAACAGTGTTTGACTGTGTCAGTTTTCAGTGGTGGCTTTTTTAGTTGTCAAATCCTGTGCATTTTTGTAGTCAGTTTTCAGACCTGCACCATCTGTTAAGTAAAGTGAGTTTTACAACTCATGATGTAAATATGATATGGGTCATGATATCCCATAGTGCAGGTCTCTTCCAATCATGACCCCCAGTAAGACTCTTCCTGGTGTCTTTTATGGACACCAGGCTGGTGAGGCTGGTACGGCAGTCAGTGCTCTGCTTTCTTCCATCCTCTTTATACAAGCTGATAAATGGCCAGCCCCTGTGACCATCATCGTGGGCTTAGTTTTCTGTGGGGCATGTTTAGAGTGTTTTCTGTACTCACCTGCCCAGCAAGGGACCTCTCCAGGCGTGACAGGGCTGATTCTTCTCCTGTGGGGTTTGCTTAACTGTAGTGTGAATTGTAAGAGGGTGGTCCACTTCAGCGCTGTGGGGACTGGGACCCATTCTTCCCTAGAAGTCCTGCTCTCTGCTTTTTTATTTGCAATGGGAAGAATGAAACCTCTTGTATAGAAACAGCCCAAGACCCTTTATGAATGAGACCTCATGAATTATAACATTTCAGAGTTTCCTAAAGCTGTTAATCGGATTAGTTGTATAGTGGAGGAAGTACTTAATATGTATATACAGACACACAGGCTCTCCTTATCTGGGAGGTGTAGTTCTGAACAAACTATCAGGTCAGGCATTCTTCTTTCCCTATGTTGTTTTCTCGTGCACAGAAAATGCTGTACGGCTGGCAGGAGTGGGGGAAGAGGGGGAAAACACTCTCAGGCTGTTTTTAGGTGTGTATTCCTTTAGCTTGTATGGAGTATCTCGAGCTAACTGTTGGGCTCTGGAGGAAAAGTGCAGTTTCCACATTCCTGGCACTGATGGGGACGTGATTCTTCAATGAAACTGGATACACCTTGAGATAACTGTTCTAGTAAAAGTTGTGACTTGGCTGATGAGGGCTGAGGCTCTGTCAGATATTTGAAGTCTTCCCATTCCAACTGCCCTTTTCTCAAATTCTTCCAATCCCTTGCCTAGTAAGACATCTATGCTCTTCTCCAAGTCCCTGAGGTAAGCAGGGACTCTCATCTCAAAACAGCCTGGATTCTGCCACTCTGGGTTGAGTTCAATTTCACAGTATGGATGTGTTTAGAGCTTTGTGGTTGCTCCCTAAATTTTCTGTTTGTGGAAATGCCAAAATCACTATTCAGGCCCTCAGCATTTGTGAGTTACTACTCTGAAGTAGTGTGATTCCTTTTACTTTGCTAAAGCAACTATGCCCTTGGTTTGGCTTTTGGAAGAAAGAGTTCCTTGAAGTTTGATGCTTTCAAGTATTGCCATTTTCTTGCCAGGAATGACAGCTAATGTTTAATTCCTACTATCTGGGACTTTAAGAAGTGAATCAAATAGCATCATCCTCCTGGTGAAGTCCCAGAGCTGGGAACCTGCCAGTCACTTTCCTTGGTAGCACATTGACTCTGAGCCCTTTGGATATCCCTTTGAAGGATGCACATATGGGATTTAGAGTTGGGTTTAGCCATCTCCATGCTTACTTTGGAAGACTTTGGTGTTTTTCTCARGTATTCTTTAACTTTTTCAATTCTCTGAATAGCTCTGCCTCTTCTCACCTCACTCATTCTAGTGGGTTCTGACTGAAGAGTTAGAGATGGGCTCCTCTCTGCAGCTCCTGCCCTGTAAAATGGCCCTAGTTTGTGTCTCCCAGCCTGGTATTCTGCTTCAGAACTCCTGCAATGATGGTTTTCCTGCCTCTTCTGGATGTCTCCATCCAATGTGCCTGGATCCTTTTGTGGACCTGGTCACATTAGGAATTGGCATTAGAGAGGAAATTGTGTCACTTGTTTTACATCCTTAAATTCTTTTGGAGTGCCAGACGTGATCTGGTAATTGTTGCTCATGTGAGCAATCTTCTTGGCTCCAAAGGAACATCCTATCCAAGGATTTGTCAGGCAGAGCACAGGTTGAGCAGCTAGAAACTGCAGAAGGCTTTTGCAATGAAAACTTCCATGCAAAAACATCATTCTGAARTATTTGTAGCCATGGATTTTTCTTCATACTCTGCTGAGGGAAAGGCAGGCATGACAGCAGTCTGCAGGTAAGCATAGTCTGTTTAGTACAAGTAATTTTTAGGTATTTGCATGCTGATCTCTCCAACTGAGGTAGAACTCTCAGAGCTCTGAGTTAGTAGAGAATATTTGCAAACAGTATAGAGGAGATAATGCCAGATGTGCTSTTATAACAGGACTCCTAAGTACAAATTAACTCATTTCTCATCCTTTCAGAATTTCCCTGAAGATTTATTCTAAAGTGCTTTCCCCCAATCCGATTTTAAATTGATCCAGTAATAGGGTTTCTGTGCACCTTTCRCACACCTTTCAACCTCAGCTCTGCTTGGTTTTACTCTCATTAGTGATCAGGTAAAACACCTATTTAAAGTTGCATATTTTACCTTTCTTTGAGTCAAGAAAATCTGCTAATTTTCCAAATCAGAAAAAAATGCTTGCCTTTGTGCTAATTAGTTGCTGCCCTTTGAACCTGTTTGCTGTTCTCCAAGAATCACCTGTGTTCTTTTTGTTCGCTGGTTTTCATATGAGTAAAGATTTTGCAGGCCAAATTATACCCTCCATCTCATCGTCTCATTCTATTCTCACCATCTGCAGTGTTATCTAAAACTCTCCCAAAGAGAAAATTTCTCCCCTCGTGTTGTATGGCTATTGGGGAAAAAACAATAAGGCATGTTATTAAAATGAAAGTGCTTTGCATTTAAAATGTTTGAATTGAGTTAGCTTTGTGTGCGTGTGTGTGTGTGTGTCTCCCTCAATTCATTTTTGTGAGATGAGGTTTTGATATGAATCACCCTCATACAGCAGTGCTTAAGTGAACACTCTTAGGATCTGGCCCAGTATAGGTACAATAACGGTTCGAAACATGATGAAACAAATCAGATACTCAAAGATCTGTCAGTGAGTGCACATTCTCAGTGAAGAATCTCTTAGCCAACTCCTAGTCACTTTGATAAAAGGTTTTTGGAAAAAAGCTTTCAAAGGTTTCTCATACTTTGTTTTTCAGTTGATTGAAAATATTTACTTTTACAAAGGATCTCTCTTTTGGAAGAAAAGCTCTGAAAATTCCTGAGTACCCCTTGACAAATTTGTCGTGAAGGGAAGCAAGAAGATCCACTTCTCTACTGTGAAACTGTGTAGTGTCACTTTTCTGTTGGACCTAAAAGTGAGGAGCAGCCCCTGGTTCCAGTGGTGCAAGGTCTTTTGCTTTATTGCTTCATTTGCTGAAGCATAAGCCACAGAGGGAGGAAGGAAGCAAGGAGGCCATTTCTTTTCTTACTGTGCTTCTCTGAAGAATATGCATATTTAATCCTAAAAGGCTTCACTTAAGTTTTGTCAGACAGCTTGGACATTAGGAGGAATTTTCTGAAATATTACTTTTTTTTTTTTTTTTTTTTTTTTNTTTTTTTTTTTTTTTTTTTTTTTTTTTTTTGAGGCAGGTTTCTAGTCCTGAAAGGACTCTGCAGGTAAGAAAAAACAAGCTTGTCTCTTGCGTTCTGGCCTTGGCTTCAGTAGATCAGAAGACACAGAAGTCTGGCTGCCCTTACTGAAACCATGCTGCGTTGGACT